CAAATCACATTCGTCTTACTAAGAGACGCGACGGGTTTGCGAGAGAGAAAAAAAATCGGTATCCCGTGTTCCTATTCTTGTTGCTGGTCTGACGCTCGACCCCATGTCAGCCCTGCGCATCTCCCGCCCATCCCGCGAACGTCATTTGACTCGCATCCCACCGATCCTAACGCACAACGCCACAGCCCGTCCATCCGTCCAACTAGACGACATCCCAGCCATCTACATAGTACCAGTGCTCTGTTGCTAATTTCCCGATATTCATGCCTTGCTGCCTTACCCTTCCTCCATGATCCCTTTCCTGTGGCCCCCCCTGTAAACACGCCATCTCATCGACCAGAGATCCTCCCTCATCCCCACCACGCCCCCTAGCTTGGAAGCAAACGAGTCAATTTCCATGTCCCCGGTCAGCGCATATGCCGAAGTCCTAATGCAGATCTACGCTCCGGCAAGTGTCAGGGATGTGCGTTGGATTCCGGTCCAGTGGAGTCGGTCAGGGTCGCATTGGCGGTATTCATGCGAACTGGGTTTGAGACCTGGTGGGGATCTGTGAGCGCCTTAGTTTCGAGGCGCATAACTGTGGCGTGTGAGCGATGGATGCGCGCGATGGATTCGCATGCCTTGTAGGGCTGATAGAATCTGTGTATGCATGGCTGAGGGGGAAGATGACGTCGCAGGCTGAAGCCGTGGGTTCGGTCATATCCGCGACATGCATGAGTGAGGGGTTCTGGAAGTGTGACCGAAGGTTTGGTGGTGCATAAGGCGATAGGAAAGCCTGCGTCGGTGTAGTCGCCTAATGCGTGTGTAACGCGTGACTCCCAAAGGATTGTGTCGGACCGTAGAGTCGTTGGGTCAGCTGACTCTCGTGACTGTATCAACGTAATCGTTGTGGCTATCTGGGGTGATGTTTGGCCGACAGTACTCCCGAGGGGACCACGGCTGCACTGTGCTTGCGGCCCTTCTTCATCAGGGGTTGGACTCTGCGACTGTCTCTCCCGCCCCTTCCTGACCAGCCTCGTTGTCCGGTTGCGACCCTCTCCTGTCTTCGGGATCTTGGTCGCCCTTTCCACCATTCTTTTGTTGCTCACCACTTGATTCAATGTCATCTCTCAGCTCTGCCTCTTCTTGTGGGTCCTCTGTGCCCCTCGAGCTGTACTCTTGATCCATGCGACGCATCAACTCTTCGCCGGGTAAAAGAATGCTTCTGTCGATCGCCAGAGGTAGTCCACGATGTCTCCCACGTAGCATAGCAGCCATTAAGACGACTTTGCTCAAGCTGGCAAAGTCGCCGCATAGACTGGTGTTCTTTCCCGGTACACCGAGACTCAAGCCGACAGTGCCATATGCCGATGTGACTTCGAATAATATCGAGAAGACGCTGAATCCCGGTGATGCGTCGAGAATGTGACCTCGCTCAATGATACATATGAGAAAGAAGACAAAGAACTGGAACCAGATGTCGTAAGCAAGCTGCTTTTGTAGATGTGATGCTACGCCAGCGGCGCTGCTGTCATTCTCTTCCAGTCCGATCGATTTCTCCTCGTACGTGTTCGTCTTCCGCAGTACCAACGTCATGGGGTAGATCGAGATGTACATGATGACCAAATAAGCCACCAAGCATGCAGGTGCCAGCGAACTCATGTTGATGATGTATGCGCCGCTAGTACGTAGTCCGCTGGCCATGAAGAGTCCGTCTACCACTCTAGCGCCAGTGGATAGAGCTTCGACATCTGGCATGCCGATGTTCAATATCTCGAAGCAAAGCCAGGCAGTGATATCGATGCCGAGCTGAACAAGAAAGAGGTATACTGTCTCGCGCTTGGGGAAAAGGTATATGAAACAACGTCGCGGATGCTGCAGAAGGAATTGCATCGTGTTCCTGATACGAGACTCTTTTGGCAGTATCTTCTTTAATACCCATATCGTGATGCGGAGTAGAATCGGGAACTGCGTTTGACCAGCGAACGCGAGACATGCAGCCACAAGCAAAACATACGCATTGCCGCTGAAGGGAACGAAATTAGCGTTGAGTACGTTGAGTCCACCATTAGAGAATTCCGTGACCGTCGCAAAATAGGCCCACCATCCTGGGTTGATGGCACCTGGCTGCTCTTGATACAATGTACTCTTGGTATCGTCGCGATATGCGTACGGTATCAAGAAAGTGATACCAAGCAGGTACCAGAAGATCTGATAGCCGACCAGGATAAGCAACAGAGCTTGGAGTGCGCGATACTCCACACCCCCAAGTTCCATGCGATCTTGCTCACTGAGCTCGCGAAAGCGACCCTTGGAGTCGAGATGCGGCTTGAAGGAGACGTAGTCGTGTTTCTCGGGTTTCAATTCTGTCGAGAAGCGGTCCAGAATGCGGCTGAAGAAGTTGCGAGCGGACTTCATTTCCCAGGGTGTTGGTATGAAGCCAAAACCGGTTTCGTAGTGATATGTGCGTCTTCTAGACTTGGGATACATTTTTGCTTGTGGCGGCTCCTCGTTCTCTTCTTGCACTTTCTTTCCTGTCTGGCCTTGTTTTGCATTCGGTCGCTGGCGCAGGCTTCCGGTACTGCTGCTGCTTTCGTTGTGATCTGAATGGCTGTTCTCGATATCTTGCACGAGTCTTTGCATCGTGTGCGAATGTTTGACGACATCTGCCATCTTTTTCCGGAAGAGTGCTCTTCTGATGAGTACCACAGCTGTCGATACAAATGGTATGTTGCCAATCATTAGCAGCACGGCGAAGGTCGCTTGCTGGAAGCCGGACATATCTCCGAGGTCTACCGAATTGAGCCCTGCATCGATTAGTATTCGGTTCACACAAACCCAGAGGACGGGGAAGACACTTACCTGTAGTTGTCATAGCACTGGTGCACAAGAACAGCGCGTCGGTGTAAGTCACATGCGCATCTCCATATTCTCTGGGCCCATCAGCGAGACCCTGCCCATATACGATAACCGAGGAGATCGCGATAACGACGACGAAATACAGCATATGCGCGCGATAAAAGTTCAACTTCAGCACCTCCTCTTTCAAATACTTCAAAACGTCATCTTTGGCCTGACGCGGGTTGCGCAGCTCCTCAAGCGGGTCGTGCATCGCGTCGTTGTCGTCGAGCGGCAACCACGACGAGCTCATTCCGGCTGCAAGTCGCAATGTATATACTTCTGCGGTATTTGTCCAAGACGCGTACCAAGAGAAAGCGCGGATCAACGTGGCAGATCTGGATAGCGCAACCTTGTCAGAAGTAGGCTGTGTTTAGCTGCGCTGCCCAGGCATTTTCGCGAGGGATGATGTCACTGACCCTCAAGCACGAACCTTATCGCGCGTGGGGAACGACGCATCATCGTGGACGCGACAACATTGATCTTCAGGTCCGCGACGTTCTCAATTGGCTTGCTGTACTGAACGGTGAGGAGTTGGCAGATTGTAAATTGTCTCCGTGCCGGTCCGGAGATGTTGTGATTAGAGCCTGGATTTGTCGTGCGACGAGGTTCGTCCCTGGCATATTACTAGGATCATCCATAGCGAACTACGTCTGATGGCCGTATATGTGCGCTGTCACCGCCTCCTGCGTTGCATTCTGTATTCCTTGTTGTGATCTCGAAGTGCTCGATGAGGAAAATCCAATCATACGTTGGACCGCGGTATATGGAAGGACACGTTATGATGTTGATAAGGAATTGACCCAGAGAAATGTACCTACTAAATCTGTGAAAAAACTATTTACCCAAATGCGTGAACTAGCTCGGCATCACATTGCGCAAAACACCATACTGGAGTTCTACTACCACGCCAACACACTTCTACTCTGAGCACATGACAACCTTACCCTCCTCAAACACCACACCCTTCTCCCTCATCTCCTTCTCTTCCTCCTTACCAATCACCCTCCCCTCCCCATCAACCCTCTCAAACACCACCCCCACGCGACTCAACTTCAGATGACCCCACATCCTCGCCGACTCACTCCAACCCCCCAACGCCCCAAAACACGCACTGATTCCCACGATCCGCTCTCCACCCACCGCCTTCCTCACGAACCAATCGCGCATATCCGGCTCCCCGAAGTAGCCAACCCGACCACTCTGCGTAACGAGTTTCAGAGCGCGGTACTGCTGCTCGACGTGGACTTCAGTGATGTCTTCCTGGTTCAGTGGGAATGTGACGGTGTTTTGTAGTTGGTAAGGGTGTGGACCGCCGCCTATCTTATTCATATCTTGCCATGCGGCTTTGAGGGATTCTTGGAGAGGCTCAGTCATGTCGTGCGCCCATTTGGGGGATTGACATAGGACGGGTCCGCGAGAGCCGACGCTGCGGCCGCGATTACCCCACATGTCGTGCGGGCCGGGGTTGATGCCGACGATATCGATACCGGTGTGGAGTTGGTAGGACGGTGGCGACGTGTTGGTTGCAGGAAGAGAGCTGGGTAGAGCGGTCGTTGCGGAGCTTGCGCTGGTCGATTGCATGGATTCTTCGGTCGAATCGTGAGGCATGGAGATACTCGTTGCAACGGGCTGAAAACATTCAATACCTGTGTTTTTCTTGCTCCACATGAACACATCGTTGGGCATCATATCCTCGGGGAGTTCGTATGGTATGGGGTGAATGGGAGTGGGAAAGGACTCGAAATGGATCGTAGGATGCGCCCAGACTGAAGCCTGTTGAGGATACCTTTGACCAATATGGTCGTAGGGTAGCGATGATCCAAGCTTTCCCCATGCCATCTGCTGAACGGATGTGTATCGCGGCTGAGCGAGTGGTGCTGAGTCCGGTCTGCATGCTTGAAGAAGACCGAGACGTGAGATAGCTCCATTCTTGCAATGAGGTCAGTAGATGCCTGTAGAGTAGCGCAGACGGCTGCAGCATTTGGCAACTCACCGGAGCAATTTGACCCGTCATTCCTACTAAATGCATGCCATCCAACACTTGAAACGGCCTCCGTACACCAGCGTAACTCTGGTGCAAGCCTTTTTTTCTCCCACTATTCAGTGTCACCTACTTCTAATTAGTATAGTTTTCTTCGGAGATGGTGAGCCCAGCGTACAGAGATACCGCTGATCATAGCAGTCTTGGATGGCCAAGGATCCTCAGGCTTCCCATGAGGCCCGGTCTGATTCACAATATCTTCGATACAGCAGACGATCTCCTTTATCCACTCCCCACGATCAAGATGAAACGGAAGTCCAGTAAATCCATCAGAGCTGCCAAAAAGTCTTGTTTGGTCACCCAAGGTGACGGAGATGCCCACTAAGTAGTCGTGGCTGTTGTTAATCTGGCGCCAGTAGGTGTCCAAAACGCAAGCACGATGAGTAATCTCATTCCAAGAGTGAATAAACTGTGCCGAAACGGTCTCGGTCTGAGCTGGCGGGGGATACATGGTCATGGGCATGTGCAAGCATACGGAGCTGTCTAGAATCGCCTTTGCTTCGTCCGAGTCTGCCGGCTCAGCGGGCTCGACCGGCCCAGTTGCTTTCTTGTAGAGCGAGGCTACTGGCTGGCAGCAGCCCCAGATCCGGCGTCGATTTGCGATGTGCATGAGGGGTCCCTGGATGCCGAACCTGGGACGAGTCGATGCATCCACCCAGAGAAAAAGACCTTTGTAGTCGAGCGCATCGGTGGTCGCAGTCTCCACGAAGTAACGCAACTCGTAGAACCATGGCAATACACGCATGCGTACCATATGTTTCCAGAATGCGGCTTCGCGAGTGACGCTGTTGACGTGATGCGAAGCTTGCATGAGCGAAAGCATGGCTTTGGAGTCAACATATCCAAGGATTTCGAGAAGCAGGTCGTACGGGAGGACTGCAATTGGATCCGTTCGCACCTTGTGCGCTAGATTTGCCAACTGCGGACTCGCACCGAAAATGTTGGCGGGTAGGATGTCTTGTATACTTTCTTGGAGAGCAGGTCGGGGGGAAGGATCGCACACTTCATACTCCGATCCCGCTCCATTATGCCAAAATTGCTCGTTGCCCGAAAAGACCTGATAGTCCACATCCAAAACTGGTCTTTCGTTTGCAAGAAGAGCGCTAAACGTTCTCAACATCACATGCTTATTAATATCTCTGCTCTCAAGTCCTATGCTCTTTGCGAGAATGTCGAAGCATGCCTCGTGGAATGGAAAAGCTTGTTGTTCGTCCCCACTCGCGTAGCTCGTGATGTTCAAAGAACCTTCGCCCGGATCATTGGGATCTCTTCCAGGCCCTTCGATATCTAGAGAGCCATAGTCGTAGTAGCGGCCTCTACCGGATATGTAGGCTTTCCGCTCGGAATTGAGTGCCAGTGCGCGGACCCGATTAATCCATTTGACGTCGTCGAGTCCGATGAGTCTAGGATCAAAACTGTTGTCCTCAGTGTTCTCGGTACTGGCATAATTGTCAAGACCCCACTCATCGCTAATGTCCAACTCGGGATCTTGCGACCAACTTCCATCATCGAGTTCTTCCACAGGCTCAGGCTCGGGGGTACGGGGTCGAAGAGCGACGTCAAATATCTCGGATGATCTCGTAAGTAAGTCGGAGTCGTTGCTATCGATAGATTTCGTGTCGTCCGAAGAAGAATCCGAGGAAGGTTCGTAATCCGAATCTGCATCGTCTTCCTCCTGTTCTTGCTGTTCGATGCGTTGCTTCTCAACGGCTTCGGGGTCGATCGCATCTTCCATTTCTTCGTCCTCATCGTCGCTGTACACAAATCCGCGTCCCACCTTCTTCCCAGTACGTCTTCCCATTCTTATATCCATCGCGCGATCTCGCTTGCGCAAAGACTTGCCATTTCTCGATCCAATCCTGATGGCGCCAATGTTCATGCAGATGGAGCATAAGATACAGTAACAATCGAAGGAGCCCATGATGAATGATGAATGATGAATAAAACACAAGCTGGTATCAGAACAGAAGGTTGGAACTCGAGCTCTTATTAAAAGAAGCTTGTGGAGTATCTAGGGCGGCACGGCGGGATTATGGGGTCTTCGGATTAGGCGTGCACCCTTGGTGCAACGCCACCAACCCCACTTTGTCCCAAAACGTGGCTGCAGCCTTGCCATCCCCGGACATGATCTAGGCATCCCAAGGCAACACCGCCCAAACTGCATCATTCACAAACTAGTTCATTGCGCAAACCAACATGGGTTAGTACTTTCCAGAAATGCATTCGATGCCACCATCCATCCAACCACAACCCGTTACCAGGCTAGAGACACGGGATAAAATGAAGGCCGCATTGGGGTAATTCTATGATGGGATGCAGGTTGAAAAGCATCCGCCGCCGCAGCGTTTCTTGGATTCTTTCAATTCGAGAACTCTATAGATAGGATCGTGAGCCTTGACCCATGACAACAAAAAGAAAGAAGATACCAGATTACGGTAGTAGGTATCGATAGCGGAGCCAACGAGAGCTCGGAAAAAGAACTCACGATTGTGCATCATGGAACTCATCGTCCTCCTGAGTCTCACTATCGGTCCTCCGCAGGAGATCGTCCTTTCGTGGCTCTGGTTCGGGGTTGGAATTAAGGAGTTTGCTGGGAGGCAGTTCCTTGGCGAAGGCCTCACGGTTCTCGGGTGAGATCGCACTTGGTTGCGAATAGGGCTTTTCGAGAGGTGGCATAGGTGGGTTGCTAGGATTGCTGGGGATGCTGCTGTTTTTGAAGGGCGGGGCATGAGTCGATGTTCCGTCGAAGTTGCTGGGAAGACCTACGCTCTGCTGTTCGTGTTGTGTCACTGGCTGCGACTGCACGCTTGTAGGCTCGGACGGTACTGGCTGCAACGTTTCCGTAGACTGTGCTGACTGTCCAACGGGCACTTGTTCCGCTGGTTGTACAGCTCCTTGTGCCTGTGGTAGATGCGCTTCACTCGCTCGCGATGGGATGTTGAATTGTTTGTCTGGCTTCTGACCCGGGAGGATCGCGTAGATCTGAAGGATCTGCTTGACGACCTCGTCAGGCGTCTTGCCATCACTACATCCTGTTAGCACAAAACACATACAGGGGGTTTGCGGGGTACTGACATCTTTGCATTAATGATCCAGTCGAGGTCTTCTTCGCCCTCTTCGCTGCCACCACTGCCGCCCTTTACGCGTCTGAAGAGCTGTGGGTGCCAGTCTACACCTTCGCTGTTTCTTTTCGCAGCTTCCTGCCTTTGCATGTCTTCAATCTTAGCCTTGGCATCGGTTGCGACGTCCTGATCTCTCCGCTTCACAGCCTCGGTCACATCGTGCCAGAGCTTTTGCGATTCACGGTCGTTTTGTTCCTCGAGAGGTCGAGCCGACGGTGGGGTATGTTTGGTATGTGCTGCGTCGAACAGGAGCTCCTTTTTGCCAGTCTACAAATCGTCAGTACATATTCTGACCCTGCAAGAGTGAAGAACTTACTGTCAAATCCTTGATGTACATCTCCTCGTTCCACTGACCCGAGAGCTCGTAGAGGTTCTTGCCGCTGGAGTCTTTGATGTAGCCACCGATAGCGTTGTAGGACCCACTGAAGTAACCCTTGGTCTTGAATTCGAGATCGGCAGTGAGACCGGTCTCGGGGCAGCGGATGTATGCGTGGTCGCCAAGCTCGTACTTCATCGTCCCAAAGAGGATGCCGCGCGCATACATGTTGGGTTGAGTGACGAAACTACCTGTCGTGAGCCTCAAGATGTGGTGTTCATGCGCTAGACTTACAATCGCTCGCCGGTATTTAGTAGCCGCAGAACTGCGATGCCCTCCATCATACTCGCCGCTGAGTTGCCGAGGAACTTGCTTCGAGGCTTGAGGGTGCCGTCTATGCGGATGTTGTGCTCGGGGGCCATGAAAAAGTAGCTCGACTTGGGCGGGTGGTGCGACGTCTGTTCGGAGATGTAGTAGCCCTTGGTGCCGTCTGGGTAGTCCCAGTAGCCTGTGAAGATTTCACCCAGGATGGGGTTGAGCGGCTTCTTGACTCCCCTAGGTCACATCAGTTGTTGCTTGTGGGCGCAAGAAGACGGCGGAGATGCATACGGGGGCTTGATGTGCCAACCACTCAGGTAGAACTTTGTCACTGCTACGAATCGCTGTACGGGGTCTTCCACCTTGGTTATAGGGAGAAGTGTCTCCGGATGTGCCATGAAGCTGCCTGATAGTCAGCCTATGCACCCGTCGCCAAGCCTAGATGCGCTACACACTTTGTTATGCGTTCCAGCATCGACCGCGGTTCGAGGATGAAGGTAGGAAGCGTGACGCGGCTCAAGTCGGCGCCGGGTCGCAGTTGGGATATGATATGGGAGAGCATGCTGCCCTGCTCGGAATCCATGACGGTCTCGTCCTCCTTGGTCGTCTCGTCGCCGCCCTCGTGTCGTCGTGTCTCGTCTATGGAAGACCCGCGGCTACCTAAACATTCAAACTTGCATCAGCTTCGGTACGGCCGGAATTCGGGAGATGACGCACTGGTGAGCGACGACCGCCGGTGTTTGGAGACTATAGGTAGGTGCGGCATGGTGAGTACAGGCCGCAGAGGGAGAGAAAGGGAAAAGTGGTGGAGGTGAGGCGGGCAGAAGCAGGCAGCGAAGTACCGGCAGAGGATGTCTTGGTGCTTCGGGTGCCGGCGAGGGTGAGCTTAGTCGCAGCAATGACGATGGGCGCTTCACAAAAACTAGCGACCCCGCGCGTTGGACCTGTTTAGCAGCAAACTGTAAACATCAACAACGCTCTACCGTGGAAGGGCGTGCAGTGAGGGGTCCAGGGCGCCAGGCGACACAGCATGCAGTCTTTTGAGCATCCAGCTGACTGGGCCTAATATAGCGATCGCCAGGCTGTGTTCTGCAAGCCTGCTGCCCCATGCCCCGCAGTCGGCACATGCCAAAGCGCCGCCATAGATGCGAAGTACGCGACACGCGCATGCGGCACGGCTCGGAGCACGACTATTCTTCCGAATACCCAGGACCTGCGATTCCAGGAACAGTGGTACTACATACAGTGGGGGCCGGCCCGGATGTCGCGCGATGATAATCTTGAATGCTACGCGTCCGCATTCCGGGAGAACCGGGCGCGAGAAGGATTCATGGCGATGACGTCGCTGTCAAGGGGTGCACATCGCCAAACATCTGGCAAGACACCTTAGATTCGATTACTATCAGGCATTCATGACTGTCGTCTAGTCCAGCACACTCTCGCCGGCCTTGCTTGCATCCTTCGCGTCCTGGTCCTGAGTCCGCTGGACTTGCTCCTTGACCCTCTGCACCTGTGCATCGTCCTTGGCTATAACCGTCACTCCAATTTTCTCGTACTCCTTGTGGACCTCATCCATTGCTGACGGATCGACTGCCCTTGTCGCATCGCCGACTACCCACGTTTTGAAGCCCTCTTTCTGTGCATCAATCGCAGTGTACTTGACACAGTAATCGCCTGCGAGGCCGACGACATAGACGTCGGTGATTTCGGCCTTGCGCAGTGTCTCTGCAAGATCGCTCTTGGCCACAGATGGGCGCTTGAACGGATCCGCGAACGCAGAGTACATCTCCACGCGCTTGTCCTGGCCCTTCTCGACTATGTGGTCCACCTTGCTGACGTGCAGTTCTGGCAGCAGCTCGGAGCCTTTAGTGCCCTGCACGCAGTGGTCTGGCCATAGCCGCGTCTCCTGCGTCTCCTCTGGGTTGTTCGGGTTCTTGATGGTGAAGGTGGATTCGAAAGGCTTGTTGTTCGGCGGAGAGTGGTTCGAGGCGAAGGAGACGTGGTCTTGGGGATGGAAGTCTTTCGTCGCGACTTTGAGAGCAAACGGGTATGTGAGGAACTCGTTGATGGTCGGGACGATGTCGCGTCCACCTGTTACTGCGAGCGCTCCGTTCTAAGCTTGTCAACTTGGAGGCAGCCATGCGAATGGTGGGTGCTTACTGGCGGGCTGAAGTCTTCCTGTACGTCGACGATGACGAGCGCTGGTTTAAAAGACATGCTGGGTAAGTAACCAAAATTATCAAATTAGTGTGTTAGTGGGTGAAGATGTCTAGAGTGGTCCCAAGGTTGAGAGTAGAGTTCCGAAGGCTGTAAGGTAGAGCAGTCGTGCGTAGAACCGTCTTATAAATAATCACCAATGTCTAAGATCAAGGCAGCGTAGGTCATGATGCTGCAGGTGCATGGCGCAAGCCGTAGAAACGAGCCGTTGATGAATCAACGATCGCAGACCACGAGGCAGAAGCTTGCCAGCAGCGTCACCAGCGTTCTGTGGCTTGACTTACCTAATCACAGCGCCAAGACGTCTGCCGTCGGCTCGTCAATTCACGACTGACGAACATCACCAGCTCGATAACCACGCCCACCCTCTCCACTCCACCCCAATCGTCCCGTCATGTTCGTCCAGCGCTCTGCTATCGCCGCAGCGAGGCGTGTGGCCCCCCGCGCCATTGCGACCCGCCGCACCTTCACCACCACCTTTGCCCGCTGTATGTTTCGCGAGGAGCTATCGTACGATGTGCCATTGACACCAAAGCAGGGGAGTCCACCGAGAGCAAGGAGGCCAAGGAGAGCAACATTGCGCAGAAGGAGACCGGTCACTCGGCCAACTCTCCCAGCGTCCTCGCAGGCTTCAAGAAGCTCGACCGTATGTTGCGCCCGCACTTCGTCATCCGCATTGCCGCGGCTACGATAGGCCAAAACCATCAATTGCTGACGAGGTCACTTCTGTAGAAATCAAGACCGAGGAGGACCTTCTACCCCCTGGTGCGCAGCCCGGTACCGTTCCTACCGATGCCGAGCAGGCGACCGGTCTTGAGCGTCTCGAAATTCTCGGAAAGATGCAGGGTATCGATATCTTCGACATGAGGCCA